CTGCTGATCACAGGGGAACTAGGATCTGGACCCCGGGGATTCAGCCTTCTGCCTTAAATTCATAATTGGAAAGGAGGGATGGGGGCGTCATTTGCTAAAACGGATCAGCTGCGTTTACTATGCTTCAATTTGTGAAGGAATGGGAGCACTTCCCATTCACTCACTATGAAGAAAGGAATTGAAGAATGTGTGCCCTCAATTCTTTTCTCTGTTGCAAAAGTGAGGCAGCAGAGGTCTATTTAGAGCCCTGATAATTCACCAAATCCCCCCACTGGGCTCCTAAAAAATTGTAAAAAATAATATGAAAATATTTAATTGTAAAAATAGTAAAAAATAAAAACTATTGACACTGTCCACTGCCCTACTGACACCAATATCTTCCCTACTGACACTGTCCACACACAATCCACTGTCCTACTGACACTGTTCACAAGCAATTCACTTCCATACTGACACTGTCCACACACTGTCCACTGCTCTACTGACTGACACTGTCCACTTATAAGGTAGGATAAGTTCATATTTTTACAGTGAAGTTTGTTTTAATAATCTTAGCATATATTATGGGTAGAAGAATGCTTTTGTTTTTAACTATGCCCCTTTAAGTGGCTCCCACTGTTAGCACTATTTGGCCACACCCACTGTTCACCATGGCACGCTACACGCACTGCATTACTGCTCTCTATGGTGTCCCAGGTCTTTTACAATCCTATATTGTATACTACAAAAAAAAAATTGCAATATTGCCAAGTGCCACTAAAGTGTTTGGGTTTGGCTTGAAGAAAAGGTGGCAACCCTAGCTGCCATGCCAGAAGAAAGCAGAAGCGCATTATGAAGCAATTCCAAGCCTTGCCTCCATGGCAGATCAGTAGGGGCTGCACTGGAAAGGAAGAAGAGCACACAGAAACAGGCCTTAATAAAGACCTGCTTCTTGGCTCACTTCTTCTTTCACAGCGGTGCCCCTCCTAATCCGCTATGGAAGTGATGCTTGAAATCGCTATTACCAAAACATTAAAATTACTAAAATATACATTATTATTACCATCCTATGGCTTATTAATGTATTAATTCCACTTCTTTCTCTGGGCAGGGAGCTGGGAGCATATGGATGGAGAACTTCATGATCTCTATGTGGGATCAGTGTCTCTGGTAAGGAGTTTACCTTACATGTGGGTGGTGTGATTTCCTGGAACCCTCTGTTCCTGCTGCACTGAATGTTCTCCGTCTCACACTTTGAAGTGTATCTTCTTTTTTGGGATATTCCATCTTGATTTTGGACTGTTCACCAGGATATTTATCCATCTGTACAGACATTTTGCACACTTGTTTGCTTTATTCAGCTTTATAATTTTTTGTTTGCAATATTGTGTATTTATAATTGTCTATATGTACATTTTTCCATCCGTACATATACAGTATACACTTTTTATGTTTATTTCTATTTTGAGAATGGAGTACTGATTTATAGCACATACACTTTAAAGTCTGAGTGTTTTGACATATTTAAGTATCTAGCTTATTATTGTCCATATACACATTTGTCCATCTGTACGGATATACACTCTTCTATGTTTAGTTTTTATTTTGAAAGTAGAGTATGGTGTTATATTGCACATGTTTCAGTGTTTGAATACTCTTTACGCATACGGCACAATTTTATTTGTGTTAATATTTGTTTTTTCATTTTTATATTTATTTAGGTTATTGCGCATATTGAGTTCACACTATCATTATTTCCTTCTACAAATATGGTTTGATATAGTTATATTGTTTGCACAAATACTGAAATGTGGGGTCTTGTGAGCTACTATGGTGTATATTACACTATTTAAAATAATACCAATGCTGTGTAATAAAATTATCAAAAAATGGTGTAAATAAATAAATGAAAGGTTGTGGTTCTCTTACATTCTACACATACTCATACCATTGTGTCACAGAAAAATAAAAACAAGAAACAGTGTCGCGCTCCACTACCAATCGACAAAAAATTTGTAAATAGATAAATAACAATCCAGCTTCACAACTGTGCATAACGATATCTCTGCAATTATATTATTGCTACAAACATGTCCTTATTAAATCCTTGTCTTGGACACTTCTTCCAGTGCTACGATACAAAATTATAAGCTGTGCAATTCACCAATCATAAGAAAATTGTGTACACCTTGATCGGTTGTGCTCTCACCTGGTGTACATGACCAAACCATTAAGTGAGGTCATAAAATGGGCAGCACAGTGGCTAAATGGTTAGCACTTCTGCCTGGCAGTACCTAGGGTCATTGGTTTGAATCCCAACCACGGCACCACCTGTCTGGAGTTTGCATGTTCTCCCTGTGCCTACATGATTTTCCTCCGGGTACTCCGGTTTCCTCCCACACTCCAAAGACATGCTGGTAGGTGAATTGGATCCTGTCTAAATTGGCCCTAGTATGTTTATGTATGAATGTGAGTTAGAGACCTTAGATTGTACGCCCCTTGAGGGTTAGGGACTGATGTGAATGTACAATATATATATATATATATATGTAAATTGACGGCGCTATATAAGTATCCGAAATAAATAAATAAATAATAAAAGACGTGTGTCCCTTTAATGAGGTTATGTGGTAAATGAATGGGATGATTCCTCTATCCCTGGGATGGATGAATGGATGGATGAACGGAGTGTTCCCTCTTCCCACTACGGGGTCTCCTTGCTTCCTTAGGAATTTTTCTCCATAGGTATAATGGCCATGGAATATAATAAAAAAATATAGTGCCTTATCCTTTTTAAATTAAAATATAATAAGTTTAGTAGTGCACTCACATGTATTACGAGTTAAATCTGCATTGTAATGTTAAAATTTGAATCCACTGTAAAGTTTTCCTTTCTTGTTAAATACTTGCTGTATGTTGCTTTAAGCGTCGTGACATCCGAGCCCCTACCCTATGCATTACGCCACAGGGTCACGTGGCTTCATCAGAGGAATTGATGAAGCCACGTGACCCAGTGGCGTAATGCGTAGGGGAGGGGCTCTGGCATCACGACGCTTAAAGCAACATACAGCAAGTATTTAACAAGAAAGGAAAACTTTACAGTGGATTCAAATTTTACCATTATAATGCAGATTTAACTCGTAATACATGTGAGTGCACTACTATACTTATTATATTTTGTTTTAAAAAGGATAAGGCACTATATTTTTTATTATATTCCATGGCCATTATACCTATGGAGAAAAATTCCTAAGGAAGCAAGGGGACCCCCTAGTGGGAAGAGGGATACTCCTGTCCACCTATCCGGCTCCAGGAAAACCTATAAGGAAGCAAGGAGACCCCCTGCTGGAAAGAAGGAACACTCCTTTCATCCATCCATCCATTCATCCATCCCAGAGATAGAGGAATCATCCCATCCATTTACCACTTAGCCCCATTAAAGGGACACAAGTCTTTTATGACCTCACTTAATGGTTTGGTCATATACGCCAGGTGAGAGCACAACCGATCAAGGTGTACAAATTTTTCTTAGGATTGGTGAACTGCACAGCTTATAATTTTGTATTGTAGCACTGGAAGAAGTGTCAAAGACAAGGATTTAATAAGGACATGCTTGTAGCAATAATATAATTGCAGAGATATCGTTATGCACAGTTGTGAAGCTGGATTGCTATGTATTTATTTACACATTTTTTCAATAGGTAGTGGAGCGCAACACTATTTCTTATTTTTATATTGTTTGCACAATTGCACTTTGAAATTTTTAAGAGACAATGCGCCCATTTTTCTTGAAGAAGGTATCTTGATCATGGAGCATCAGAGCGACATATCACTTAAAAAATTCCACTGCTAGCATTCTCATAGAAAAGTATTACATTTTTCTTAGCGACATGTCGCTATAACAAAACGAGGGGAGGGAGGGGGAGGGTAATTGCTGCAAGAAAAATGCCTGTGTGTTATCAGCCCTAGATGCTGGCTTAGAGATGACCCAATCATGCAAATTCTGGATCCCATTGTAGCCTCTCATCTTCTGACTTGCTATAAAAGTACAATGCTGCAACTTAATAACTGGAGTCGAGGAGGCTGAGGAAATTATTTCTCCTGCCTTTTGCAGACTGATGGCATTTTCTCTGCCTAGGCAAACTTATTTGACTGGAGATCAAGGACTGTTTTTTAATGATAAAAGGTGCCACTTTTTTTTACAAATTATGCTATTGCTGTATATTGTGACAGGAATTTATTCATGCAGACTTGTAAATGTATTGTAAAGGCCCACTTTAAGGATCAAATATAGACTGTTGGGCAGTATGCCTAATTTTTCTATGGTTCATATACTCATGTTTTTAAAGGCTACCTTGCCTTATCCTGAAAAACAATTAACTGATTACAGCTACAATGCTTTTCTTTGTCTTTGCAGCTCCTACTGGAAGCAATCAGAGGCCACAGAAAACATTCACGTGAAGATGAATAAACTTTGAGGAAACATTTTCCACCTGGACAGAAATCAGTCTACTGAGAAATGATCTACTCCTATCCCTTAATACAACACATCCAATACAAACAACCTCCATTAAGTCTATAATGCTTCAGAAACAAGTTATTTGAAATTCTACAAAACATAACAAAGAGCTTTTGTTCTCTGGGATCATGGTTATGGTTAATGGCCATATTCCCATTTGAAATGGATATCACATTTGACAAGGCTGAAGACTTGCCCCTGATCAGAAAAAACAAGGCAATCAACATCTTAATTAACCATAATTATTTTTTCCATTTTTTTTATCTGCACCTTTTTAACTAAAAGCTCACAAATTAGATTGGGATCCATTAAGAGCAAACATTAATTCCCGTAATCATTCTCCACATATCTCACTTTTGTTAGTGCTGTAATAAAATAGTCAATAAACAAAAAAACATCCATCTTGAAATTAAAAATGAATAATATCACAGAATCTAATTTGAATCATTCAGAAAGTGGATGTTATCCAAATGCAGATGTAGTAACCAAGGTTCTGCCCACCATGTACACTTTTGTTTTTATCTTTGGTTTCTTCCTAAATGGGATCAACTTGTGGATTTTCTTCTACATTCCCAGTAATAGGAGCTTCATTGTGTACCTGAAAAACATTGTTATTGCCGACCTTTTAATGACTCTGACATTCCCCATGAAAATAATAAGCGATGCTGAAATAGGAAATGTGCAATTACGTCTTTTTGTCTGCAGATACTCAGCAGTTGTGTTTTACCTGAACATGTACATAGGAATCATATTTTTGGGGATACTTGGCTTTGATCGTTATTATAAGATTGTGAGACCCATGAATAACTCTTTCTTTCAAAATGTATTTCACAGTAAGGTCATCTCAGCATTAATATGGGCAGCCATGGCTTTTATTTCTATCCCAAATATGATACTGACCAACCAAATTGCAGACCAAACAACAAAACCAACTTGTGCCAAGCTAAAAAGCTATCTGGGCATCCAATGGCATCAGGCTTCCAATTATATATGCATAAGCATATTTGTCATTGTGTTTTTCCTTCTTCTTACATTTTATGTTTCAATATCAAGGAAAATATACCGATCTCACCAAAAGTTTAAAAGAGGTTCAAATGCTGGCAGAAAGTCTACGAGGAATATATACAGTATTTTAATTGTGTTCTTCTTCTGTTTTGTTCCTTATCATCTTTGCCGAATTCCATACACCATAAGTCAAACTACTTCTGATGGTTACAGCTGTCAAAATCACAACAATCTGTTTTATGCCAAAGAGGTGACATTGCTTTTATCAGCTGCCAATGTATGCCTTGACCCTATCATTTATTTCTTTATGTGCCAACCTTTTCGACAAATGCTCTTTAAAAAACTGCACATGGAAGACAAACTTCAAGACACAGAGAGGACTTTTAAAGTGTCTTCCACACAGCCAGGATTAGTATAAGTCATAAAGTCTTAAGGTGGATCCATACATGGAAATCCTAACATAAGAAGTATTTATAGGGAAAGTGAAAAAAATGAAAGCAAAGCTAAAGTAGAAATTAAACTAATATTTTGCAGACCGAGTGAAAGCTGGATTATTACTCTTACAATAAACATCTCACTTTTCATTGGATGGTGACTTGTAAAAATTATCCTTCTCTGTACCTGCACTTGAAACATGAGCACTCTAAATTGAATGTGGTCATTCAGGAACCATCAGGAGTATACCCTATACTGGAACACAGCGCTTGTACTTCCTCTGGATCAAGTGTGGGTATAGGATCGTGTATATGGAGATGTTCTATATGTGGGTGTGTGTGTGTGTGTTTTCTATGTGAGTTGAACTAGATGGACTTGTTTTTGTTTTCTACCAGACTAACTGTGTAACTATGTAATAACTCATGAATAACTACAGAAACATCATGGAGTCAAATGTGGATGTAGTAACTGAGTATTGTAATTCCTAAAAGTAGACATCCCCAAACAGTGGCTTAGGGGATACATGTAGCATGTTACTTATGCTCGCTTTCAGTAACTGACTGAATATCTGCAGTCCTCAATGTTGCCAAAAGACAGGTTTAAATGTAATTTCATCATAACAGAAAGGATAATTCAATGGCTAATTCTTGACAACAATATTCCACAAATATTAAATTGTATAAAGAATATACACTTTTTTTTATGAAGAACTTTACAAGAAAGTAAGGTAATAGAAATGTTAAATGAAGGCGTTGGTTGTTTGCTTGCTGTCTAAAATCGTACAGTCCTAGGCCCTGCACTATGCTTCCATTTCACAAATCCAGGCTTGCTATACAGTTAGCGTTTTTTTGTTCTATCTTCATAAGATATATGCAGACTCAATTCACAAAGCTAAAACATCAGATTTTTGGGAAAGCTGAGTCCAGTGAGATATGAAAATTACAGTCTCATGGCTTAAAATAATGACCCTCATCCTTGTATGATGTTTCTTGAAATGAGCCTAAAACTTAAAGTGGTTCTTCGTTCTTTTTTTTTTTTAAACTTTAAAGTCAGCAGCTACAAAAACTGTAGCTGCTGACTTTTAATAAACACTCACTCATCTGCCCAAGGATCCAGCACTGTCCTCACCCAGCTGGTTTCTTTACCGGTTTTCAGGTCCCCAGCACAGGCATCCTAGCTGTATATATACCACTGTTTGTAGACGCTATAATTTTAACGCAAACCAATTAGTATACACGTATTGGGATTTTTTTTTTACCAAAGACATGTAGCAGAATACATTTTGGCCTATATTTATGAAGACATTTTATATATGTTTTACAGCAAAAAGTAAAATATATAGTTTTTTTTTTTTTTTCAAGTGTAAATTGTTTTCGTTTATATCGCAAAAAATAAAAAATCCAGTGGTTATCAAATACCACCAAAAGAAAGCTCTATTTGTGTGAAAAATTATGTTAATTTCATTTGTGTAAAGTGTTGCATGACCAAGCAATTGTCAGTTCAAGTAGTGCAGTGCTGTATAGCAAAAAATAGCCTGGTCATGAAGGGGGGGTAAATCTTCCAGAGGGCAAGTGGCTATACAGAGCTAGGTTACTTCACACCACAGCCTGTATTTTGCAGCCATTCATAAAAAGCTGGCCACAGTGTGAAGCCTGTGGTACATCACACAATTCCTTCTGCCTAATCCAGTAGAATGAATTCCGTTAGTGAATGAGAGGCCAGCCATATGACCTTGACAGTTCATGTGGCCAGGCTCTCCCCATGATTTTTTATTTATTTTTGTTTTTCATGTTAATTTTAATAAAGAGCATAGGTGTGTTTTATGTATGTGATTTTTTAGCATCAGTTAAAATAGACACTTTAGTTTACCTACTTTACTACTGGAGGCCTTACATCCCTGACCTCTAGCTAAGGCTTGCCCATCTGCCACTACCTTGTCCAGAACAGTTCAGTGGACATTAAGGCAGGTGGGGAGGCAAGTGGGTGGGGCTTAGCTTAGAACTTAGGGTGGTCCATTTCCAAGAAAGGCAGAAACTAGACCACATTGGGGTACAGGTTTTTTTTTTTTTTTTTTTTCTGGCTGCAAACGTAATAGCAGTAATTTTATAGTGCTTGCACTTAGGCAGGGCTTTAAGTTTTACATATTTCGAATGGCTTGCAAGTTCATTTAAAAAACGTAAGATACATAACAGCAAGTTTGGGAATATAGATCAGTAAATCTTTTTCAAATAACAGAAGTCTTTTTGCTAGCAATGCAAAAAGTCTTAGATAATTGGAGTGATGAACTCTGCAACACTGTTTGCAAAGTTCTTCCTGTGTGCATAGGAATCTCTGCATCAAGTCAAAGCCCAAATGTAGGGTAGAATTAACCCCCCTCTTACCCCTCCCTTCCACCCCCCCCCCCACCACTAATTAGTGGGATGGGAAAAAAATGCCTTTTTAAATCCCATTTTTACTTACTGTAAGTTACCTGACCCTTCTCCTCTCTGTTGACTTTCTGCTGGTGTTCTTCAGCTTTAAGGTGATTTTTCCTGCAATTGGACTTATTTAGGACCTTTCCTTTTCCTTACTGACATAGAACTGATCTTTCATTTAGCATATATCAAAATTAAATATTCACCAAGTGAAGGTAAAAATGTTTACGCGGCTTTGGGAGCATACTGACCATGACAAAAATGGAAAAATTATAAATAACTTACTGATAAATATGCACAACTAAGCCTAAATATATATTTTTCTGCCTTGTTAGAAAAGACAGAAGCAGAAGCAATGCAAATTGCACAATGCACCAATCAGAAATCTGCATATAGTATATCTTAATCAAGCTGAATGCTCTGCTATGGCATTATACATCATAACTGCTCTTTGCATTGCCCTACTGAATAACATAAATGCTGTTCCTTAGTATACAAGGTAAACTAGCAAAAATGAAGATAAGTATTCCAACTCCCCTATGAAGAGATGAATTCTCCTGCACATATCCTGTGCCAAGGAGTGGTCTTTGCTATGCAAGGTTCACATCTGTAGATATAACTATGAAAGGAAATGCATCCAGGGTAAATACAGCTGTGGAAGAGCACGGACTTGGATTCTGTACTCATTGTTACATGAGACTAACTAGTGGTCACGCTTTCATACTTTTCATCAATACCAGGCATCCAGTAACAAAAGGTAATTACGTTTAATTGTAATGCTAGCTAGGTAAACAGCAATCGTCAGTCTCCTAATAAAAACAGTAAGATTAGAAGACACATTTCAGTGACTGCAACAAATAGAAATTGATCACATATGGAGGAAGCAAACTAAAGATGCATCCCAAGTTGTGTAATCTTGCTCATTTACCTATAGGGTGTCAGTATACAGTATGTTGTAACAGTGTAATTTGTAAAAGACAGGAAAAAGAATGATACAAAGACTGAGAGCAAGAGAGCTAAAAAACCCACTCTACACCATAGTTAATATAGCATATGTGGTACTGCACACTGCTTTATTCATACTGTATGTTTCCAAACCTGCAATCAAGCCTCATCAATGGTCCATGTTTCATAGATTTCCTCTCTGGAGCACAAGTGTGATAATCTTTGAGTATCTAGATTCCCTTGTGCTCTTATGGGAAGATCCACAAAGTATGTACCTGAAGTACTTGCCCCTTTTGGGAGATACTGTATACTGGGATCCCAATGGGTTCAGATTCTAAGTTCAATTACTAGAGTTACAGCATAGAAGCAGAAACAAGCATTTAAAGCTGCCTGCAGGTATCTTTCAAGTTAATCAAATCCACTTACATGCCCCCTAGGGAGCATGCTGACCCTGAAGTTAGCTATAATTGCAGCCTCGACTTCTGCTATAACCAGCGATATCATATGTCCTAGATGTAGCTCTAACTAATGAGAGCACCTCAGCTGCCAATAATAGCATTCTTGGGGGCCTGGTATCTAGCTGAGAAGTGGAAGATGCAATTACAGAATGCACCTTGAGCAAAGCGCCCCCCAGGAGCAAGAAATTGCTTCTGATTATTTAGAAGGGTATTAGCAGGCACTTTAGATGACTTTACTGTAACTTTAGAAACCTGTTTATGATTAAAGTCAGGGAGGGGGCAGGAATATGTTATGTCACTATAGGTCCGCTTTAAAGGACACCTGCCATGACAGAATTATGTCAGATTGCCATTGCTGATCTCCTTCAGAAAATGTTGCATTTGTGCCAGTCTCTGTCTTCAGTACTTTCTCAGTCATCGACCTAGAACAGTGGGTGTGAATGACTCAGCAAGACAGGAGGGCAATTCATATTTTTACAGGGTGGTCAGCAATAAAAAACAATATATCTATACTTTCCTGTGCTGATATTGCTTACTCTGATTTCACTGCATACTGTAAGCTTCTTACAGTGTGCATTAGAAGCTGCCACAAGTCAGATAAAGCCTGTCTAATTTCCCAGCTGGAAGGCGTCCAGTATCATCTAACCTTTTCTTCTCCAGCCTGACTGTCCTTGTACATCCCTTTTATTCATTGGATTTCAGTTCTTTCAGTCATGAAGGCTCGGCATCACGTGTAGGAACACCCTGCCTGGGAATACCCATTCCTCCAAACTGATATCCACTCACCAAGACATTTTGATATTAAAGTGGAGCTCTAGCTCCCCCTCCCCCAAAAAATTAAAGGCAGCAGCTACAAATACTGTAGATGCTGACTTTTAATACAAGGACACTTACCTGTCCAGGGATCCAGCGATGTTCTCACCCAACCCAATTCTTCAGTCGGCTTTGGGTGCAGGAGCCGGCATCTTCAGTAAGGGAAACCAGAAGGGAAGCCTTGCGGCTTCACAGCCAGGTTCCTACTGCACATGCGCGAAGAGCGCTGCACTTTGTGAATGGTCCCACAGTCTTCTGGGACTTGTGAAGAATGGGGGACTGAACTTCCAGCTCAGATCGACGATGTGCATCTGACCAGAACTGGGAGCAGGTATCTGTCAAAACCAGGCACC